TTGGATTTTTGATTCAACATCTTTTTATGTTAATTAATAATGCTTGTAAAAATAGCAAATGTCAGCCATTCCAATTTAGACACCATCTGCTTTAGCTCTACAGCCCTTTGTGAGCCCTAGCTTGTTCTATTCAATTCTATATCCATACAGCCTTCTATTTTGACTTCCCCACCTATAGATCTTAATTATTTCCAAGTCATCCTTACATCTTTTTCCTTCGGTGGCCTCTGGACCTGGTTTCTAGTGTCCAGTGGATGATCTTTTTTAAGCAGTAATTATTGTCTCTCTTTGTGTGAATATTGTTTCTCTTTCAAACCATGAGAGGTGCTCGGACTCGATAGAGTGAACAATATTGTAGAATATAATAATTATGTAGGCATAACTCTTAACCTTACTTATATCCTTTTTCAACATATTTAATGTAAGTGGATATTTATTTTATTGTTATTGAAAATATTAATAGTTTAAGATTTTATGAATTTCTTTCTAACACTTGACATCAAATATTTTACCTTTAGTTTTAAACTATAAAAAAAAAGTAAATAAATTTTTTTTTGAAAAAAAAAGAGTTTTTTTTCTGACCTTGTACACATGTCTAATGTATTATTTTTAGTTCATTGTTTTCAAGTGATTTACATTCATTGTTAATAATTGTACACAGGGTTATGTTTTTTGAAGTTTTATTTTTATTACTGGTATATATCAAGGTGGCTACCCACCTGGAAAACCTGGAATTATCAGGAAATTTTTTTATACTGGAAAAAACCTGGAAATATCAGGGAAATTTAGATAAAAACCTGGAAAAATCAGGGAATTTTAAAGAAAAACTAGAAATTTTTTTCTCTGATAATTTTTTTAATTTTACTAATTTAAATTATTTGCTAATTTTCTTAATTTAAATTATTTCGTCCATTATCCCATTTTTTTTAAANATTCAAAATTTTGTACCAAAGCATTAAAAAATAAATAATAAATCTTGCCAAATTGTCAAAATAATTTTTTTTTTCAAGATGATATGTTAAAAAAATAACATTTTGAATAAAATATTTTATAATATAGACACTTTTCTTGTGCACATCCTACACTTTATAAGAAAAAAGAAATGAAAACCTGGAAATTTTAAGATTTTTATCTGGAAAACCTGGAAAAATCAGGGAAATTTGAAATCTGATTTCAGTGGCCACCCTGTATATATTTTCTTAAAAAATATTTTTTCAACTGGTTAAATTTTTATCATAAGCTGTTTTTTGATTTTGTATATTTTGTTTTCAATATCTGGCGTAATAAAATTTCTTTTCTTTTTTTGAAAAATGTTCAATGAGTATATCCTAAGTAAAGGGAAGATTTTTATCCAAGTTTTTTTTTACTATTTTTTCCTTTGTGATTGTCAATTAACATGCAATAGATCAAGAAGAGTATTGTTCTTAGTTATGACTCATCTTTAAATTCAAATATATATTTTAAGAGTGAAAGTTTGCTAAACATGTTTGCAATACTTAATGTAGAATTTTAAAATATGCATTACTTAAACAATAATTTATATGAATAATTTATGAATTAAATATTAGTATTCTAGTTAGCGAACCATTCAGAAACTATATTTGATTTGAATTTTTACTCTCTTTTTCTTAAACTATGAAAAATTATTTCTGTTTTAGAAAGAGAAACACAAAAATGTGGAGAATGCCATTTTATGTGCAAAGGAAGATGGATTTGAGATTCGAGAATTTCCTGAAAAAGGTCGAGGAGTTGTAACCACTAAGCCACTTAAAAGAGGGGATTTTGTTCTGGAGTATCATGGTGAACTCATTGACTATACCGAAGCATGTAAAAGAGAGAGGCTTTATGCTATGAAGGAAAACACTGGTTGCTACATGTATTACTTCAAGTACAGAAACAAACGTTATTGGTAAGCTCTCATCTGTTTTTATTTCTTCTTAAAAGTTTCTCATTTTGCTAAATTTGTATAAATTCTTATCGAAATTTATTCACTTGCTGAAGCTAAAAGTCAATGGTTACAGCTAATTATTTAGATTGCAGTCAATGTTGGTTGCCACTATAAGATGTGAAAATTAATCATTTGATTTTTTTAAAATTCATCTTTCACAGATATTTCTCTTATGTTTAACCATTTAAAGTTAAATTATTCCTTTTAAAAATTAATATTAAATACTCACTATCAAAATAAATGCTACTTTTTATAATAGTTTTATTTAAGATAATAGTTATGCACGTATTGTAATACAGTTGCGAAATCAGTGAAATATTCAGGTTATGTTGTAATAAATTTCTTATTTTACAGTATTGATGCCACTAAAGAATCTGGTAGATTGGGCCGACTGGTGAATCACAGTAAAAAAGGGAATCTAAAGACTCAGCCCATTTTCTTGCAAGACTGTCCTCATTTGGCTCTCTTTGCTGGCAAGGACATTGAAGCCGGTGAAGAGCTCACTTATGATTATGGTGACCGAAGTAAAGAGGCCCTGGAGTTCCACCCATGGCTGGCATTATAGTAATACAGATTCTTGTACGATGTGTGTTCTTGTATATAGTTTTATTGCATTTTCCCATCTGTTTATTCATGAATCCATCACTTTTAATAATAAAAACAAAGTAGTTTTTACCACAATTGTAGTTTTGTTCTTGTGACTTTCATAAGCTTTTTACATAATTAGCACCAAGGTTATATTTTATTTATTTTTTAATAGAAAAAATACTTTTTTTTAACAAAAAGAGAAACCCAGCTATGAATTGTACTATTACAGTTTAGATATATATTATTTT